CTTGGTGGCCACAACCACCTTTGATGCCTTGCAGAAGAAAAAAACAGGGAACCAGACTTAGGGAAATGAGAGCAATGGGAAATGCAGGTATGTGCCTGGATCTGTCAAGGGGGAGATCCTCATGGGGACCCCCTAGGGTACAAACACTGGATGACAGCAGAGGCCTTTGAAGGTACATGCAAAAACTGCACATTGCTCATTGAGGAGTGCAGCCTCAATTGCTGGATAGAGAATGGGTTTGAAGGCATAACAAAGACTGAAAATAACATATATTCAGCTCAAGTAAATCATCCCATACATGGTGAAAGTAGGAAGGAAATAAGAAGGTATAAAAACCCCTACAAGAACAGGAAAAAGGGAAGAAGAGAGGAATTTCTCCTGCACCATCCCCTCAGGTAAAGACATTATGTGTGATCAGCAATGCCACTTAAACAAGAGCAGTTCCTTCTCTCGATTTGGGGGGAGCAATGCTGCTTTTTGATTTGCCCCTTACAATATTTTGCTAACGTGGACTCAGCAATCATATGTAAAGTAGTGTCTTTTACCATGCAATCAGGTTAAGTAAACTGGGATGTTAAGGAGCTGTTCCTTTGTGTTTTGTTTTCTGCTTCAACCTTCCCACTCAACAAGGTGATTGACACCGCAGCACAAAGGCAGAGTAAACTCATACGGCAGAGCTCTAACAGAAATAATTTCTCATATAGCAACAACTCACTCTTCATTCTGGAAGCTAGGATAGCACCAGGCAAGAGGAAGAGAGGAGAAACACATTTCACAACAATCTTTCAGTCTGAAATGGGACTCGTTCCCATCAGCACCTGGGATCACATGCCCTCTGCTTCAGCAGTGACCGCGACTGCCACAAAATTACCAATTCAATTTTTCCAGAGATACCACTGCAACTCAGCCAAGGTGAATGTGAACTGTTGGCATTTAGCATTGTGGGGAGCAGGGGGTGGGAATCCTCATAGGCCAAATCCTGCCAGGCAGAGCTCTCTGGTGCCCACATCTCCAAGCGAGAGCACTGTAAAGCAGCGCTGTGGGCAAGTTGCCTTAGCATGTACCTTCCAGGTCAACATCAAAGTATTCCTGATGGTCAGAAAAGCCATTTGGAAGGAGATTTGAAAAACTATCTTATAAGATTTGGAGTGGTTCAGCATTCCTTGCAAGAAACCTCAGACAACTTGGTAAAATACACTTCAATTTTCTGGTGAATATTATTAAGCGTCTATTAATAATATATATTACATACTCCAGAAGTAACTTTTCCACAAGAAGAATTTGCAGCCATTTTACCACATCCAGTATCACATGCTGGCAGAAATGAATTCTCCAATTGTTGCAGGTTGTTTTTAAGGGTGGTGGTGAGGAGGCACTGCTGCCTAATTTGAATGGAGATATCTGATAAAACTATAGCTCTAATAAATACCTAATGAGCACAGAGATGTTCTTCAGCAGGATTCTGTTTTATAACAGATGCAGGGGTGTAGTTGCTCAGATACCATCAATATCATAAAAGGAAGGGAACCTGAATGGACAAGTAGAAATTACGACATTTTAGTGATGCTACTCCCAGGTATGCTGTAAGCCTCGCAGAGTGATTTCCAATCTCAGTGTAAACACATAGCAAAGTACACAGATTAACAGCAGTTATTGTCTGTATTGATATTTAATGCCATATTGTTTTCCATGGGGATAAGAAGGGCTGTTCTAGTGCCCTTGAACAAAAGATTGTTCCTTGTTTTCCCATGCTTATATGCAGAATTACTGCTGCCCTTCCAGGCCTGAAATGGCTGACTTTCAAGAGTACCTAGTATATTCGTCATGGATAATGCATGTTGTGACTCCTCAGACTGAAAGACTTGTAAAAACGTATGCTGTGCAGGAGAAATAGGTTGGAATCAGTGCCCAGTTCTCAGCAATAAAGCATTACACACCAGATCTACGAGAGCTCCTGTCTGGTTCCACGCATGTGGGTGGATGCTCTTGTACATTATTGCAGAACATACTGGGGAAGGGAAGCACTTTTTGTTAAAACAATTCTACATACAAAAAATGTTACAAAAGCCTAACCAGGAATGTTTTTATAGTCACATTTGATATTTTCTTTTTGTCAAATTAAGCATAGGCATATAATAATGTATTTGATTTTCTCTATTCGAATAAAATCTTCACTTTTTCTCAAGTAGATCTTTAAGATTTTTATTATCATTAGTTATGTGTATTACAATAGCAGCCAGAAGCCTCCAAATTAGTGCCCAATGCATAGGGCCCCATTGTACAAAGAGATGTTAAAGAACAGCCCCAGCTCCAAAGTGATGACAAATTAAATCATGAGGATAAAGAAGTCCCTTTGGGGCCCATGTCTAAGCAGCCAGGCAGAGACCCAGGGAACACACGGCATGCTGATGGTTTCTTCTCTTTTGGGTAGACTCTGGAGGAAGAAAAAGAATCAGATCTCTTGGCGCATCGCATTTCCCTTGAGGGAGCGGCCACGGCACTGAGATCACTATGACCCATTTCTTCATGCTTGCTGATGATCCTAGTTTCAATCCTTGCTCGGTAGGATCCTGAAATTCAGCAAGTGAAAAATGTGTCCTCACTGAGGACACATAGTAAACTTCCCATTGTCTTCTCTGAAATCAGGATTTTCAGCCTGCTCTCTGGTGGTGGATACAAACCAAGGGAAGAAAAAAAACTGCAGAGGAAGAAGGAGGAGAAGACAGACTTGCAGACAGGTAGTTTACCCTGAGCTGAGCACAAGAATTCAGTCCCTCCTGCTCTGTAAGTGGGGCTGGTTGGGTGCTTTCCAGTGGGGCTGATGTCCTGCATGAATGCTTTCCAGGAAAATACGACTGAAAAAATGAAGATGAAGAGCGAGAATATCTGCACCACCTTGCACGAAGGTGATGGTGGCTCTACTTCTTTGTCCCTATTGCACCATTGCCTAGGGGACAAAGAATTAGGCCAGAAGAGGCTAGAAAAGTTGTAAAGGATCCAGCAGGAAAGATAAAAGAATACCACAGATAAGAGAGCCTCAGTTACACACCTTCAAAGAGGCAGAGGTAGCTTGGACCATCACTGAATGGGACAACCTACCTGCCTGGCCGAGTCTAGGCTAGGATGGTCTAGTTTTCTGAAGGCCATGCAGAGATGAAAAGGAGACTGGTTGTTCATGCACCCTTTTTGCCAGCCACCTAAGTGAGAGCCTTGCACGTTTGTACTGAACTTTACATCCCAGATATATAAATAATGCAGAATTAGTCTCCTGAGAGGTGAAGGTGGCTAAGCCCATCATTTTGTTTTATGGATGAGAAGCTCATGGTGACACAGTGGTCACCTTGTCAGCTTTATAGGTGCTCTTCACCTACAGAGCAGTACTATTGCAAAGAGAGCAGCTACGCAGTGAACCCCTCAGCTTTATAACCTCCCCGGGTAGGAGCCCTCCCTACCAGAGACCTTTTCCATCAGGACAGGTGAGATCACACTAGATGATAAGAGATCGCTTTGCTGTCTGGCAGGAAACACAGCACTGACCCTCCTGAAGGCTCAGATTGAAGATAGCCTCCTGCAGCGCTCACATGTGCAGGATAATGTCAGAAAATTACCCCATGTCAGGAAATCATAAAAAATGTTCTCTTTTCCTCTTGGGAGTTCCTTGAGACTCTGTTCCCTTCACCTTTCTCTCCACAGTGGCTGCTAGAGGATGCTGCAGGATACGGGACCTGAACCAAAGCCAATTGAGTAGCTGAGACTTCCTTCTAACTACAACTACTATTATTCTTTAAATCTGAACCTTTGGTCCCATTGCTTATCAGCTCTCAGTGTGACAGTGGCTACACTCTGATTTCAGCTCAGACAGGCTGAGCTCTGGAAATAGCTTCATGCTACTTAAGTAAAGCTCTGCTTACTAATGAAAATATTAGAGGGAATGACAAAATTGTTTGGGCAGATGAAGGAACCATGTTTGACCTTGACTAAATTCTCCATCTTTGGGTAACCCCTCCCTCTCCTGTCACTCAGGAAATGTCCACAGCTAGTTATCGTAGACCCTTCCTCCACCTGCTAGCAGCTCTGTGTCTTAAACTTTGGTAACATTATTCATGCAGCAGCACGCCAGGCACACGTCACTCATCTTCAGGGGTTTGAATTCCTCTGGCGAGGTGCAAGAAGGCAGAGGTGAATCAGAGTCCAAAACGATAAATGCTCTTTGCTCGGGATTAATCTGATATGCTTTTAAGGCATATCAGCCGTATTTTGCCTGTTATCATGTGCTTGGAGCAGCGTTACGCCTATTCATACCCATGAGTTAATCAGGGGCAGACCAGGATCTTGGCTCTGGCACTGGTTTGAGGCTGGAGCATCTGCTCCCTTGGGGAAAGATGGAAAGGGCCGACGCCACCCGCCCGATCACCACAGGGAGGCAAAGGTTGGCGGTGGCACTCGGCTCAGCGGCAGAGGTGGCCGCCGCTTCCTTCCACCACCAGCGGCACGGAGGAGGCCCAAGACCCAGCAAAACGGGCGCAGCTTCGTTGCGAACAGAAAACCCGGAGGCAGAGCTCAGGGCCCCCTTTCAGGGCGGTCCTCCGCCATGTTGTCCCCTCTCTGGGAGCACCCGGCACGCCCGGCCTGCAACGCTCTCCTCCTCACAAAGTCCCCGGCCCGAAGGATCTCCTCAGCTCTCCTTTGCTGCTTGCCGGGGAGAGGCACCGGGGAGAGGGAGGCCAGGCGGGCAGCCCACCACCCCGCCAGGGAGAGGGGGAAGCCCCGCCGCCGCTTCTGCGACGGAGGCAGCCCGCCCGGCTTCACCCGTGCGCCCGTCCCCACCGGTGAGCTCCTCGGCGAGAGCACCGCCACCGGCACCCGCGCCACAAGGGTCCTTTCCAGCCGCGAAATTTCCCGGGAGACACCCGGGGCGGCAACAAGTCTCCGAATCTGTCGCGACGCCCGGCATTGCGGCAGCCCCGCGCCCCGGCCCGCAGCAAGGACACCGGCTCGCCTCAGTTCAACGCCTTCTCTGAGAAGTGTCCCAGCTTCCCCTCCTCCTGCACGGGCTGCGAGGCCTGGCCGTGGCGGGACGGGCCCCGGTCCCCCGTGGGGCACCGATGCCCCCCCCGCCCCGCGGCCGGGCGGGCGCCCTGCAGCTCGGCACACTTCTCCTTGTAGTGCTGGGTGTTGCCGGCGAAAGTCTCGCAGCGGCTGAGGTTCTCCTCCTGGACGGGGCTGCCCACATTCTCCTCGCTCGGCCCCGAGGCCGTTGCCCCCTCCTGGGAGTTTTGGCTAAGGTAGACAACGATGATGTCGCCCTTGAAATTCATTACTTGTCCGCTTGAGATAAAGGTGGAGTTACTGTTTCCAGTCACATTTCCTGGGGAAGGAGGGGGGAGAAAAGAAGACACACGTGATTAATATTTTCTCCTCGTGAGGTGGACGCTTAGCACTGTGAACTTAATCTGCTGTGGCGGCTTTACTCTTGTTCCATTATTTTTTCCCCGTGACATGAGAACGCTCTTATAATCAATGCCTTCCACTGGACCTTTTCATTATTTCCATTTTTGCCTCCTCAGGACGAAGCCTGTCATCCACAGGGAGCCTGTCTGGAAGGCTTGGAAATATTTTCTCTCTCAATTGCATTCTGGGAAGCAAGAAGGAGCGCAACGAACTCGTGCTGCCCGTGCTGCCCTATGCACAAGCTGCATCCAAACTGCCTCTGCCCACGGTTTGTGAGGAAATGGTCATTACATCTAATTATGAGTTTTTGGTTTGGTTTTTTTTTTAGTCCCAGGCATCACATTGGGGTTTTTTTCCCCTTTGGTAAACAACAATCAGTCCTACCGTGTGGGCAAGGTAGCAGCCTTATTGAATAAATAGTGAAAGACTTAATGCCAGACCACACAGTGTCCAAATGACACAGAGCTTATACAATTATCTTACATTGTCCTGATCCTCCATGTAGGTACACTCCCGTACTCACCTAGTGCCCTCATGGATTTACCTGGATATACACTGACTCCAGTGGAGAGACAGAGTCTATATTACAGCAACCTAATGGAGTTATAGTTTCAGTCGGTCTGCCTGTGGTTTGAAATTTTTCAGTATAAATTTAATCTTTCTGCCATACAAGAACTGGGTCACTGACTCAAGGCACTGGGAATTAATAAACTTCACTCAGAGCAGAAAGAAAATAACTGAGAGCAAACTTTCAACAACAAACTAAAAACTTGTTAAAGTTTGAAAATCAAACAACCGCAGCAGCCAAGTAAAAAAAAAAAAAAATTAAAAAAAATTCTTTTTTAACCTATGAACACTCTTCCTAAGAAATGTTTTGCCTGCTGTGCTTCACTTAATTATTATTTGTGGACTGATCTGACACCTTTTAGACATTTTGTGCCTTTCCTCATTACGTTCCTCAACCCTTGAGTCATTACCATTTTCACTGCAGCTAAGCATGGCCCAGCCCAGAGAAATGCTGGTTTTCTAGCAGCCATGGGTGATGTTTGCACATCAGTAAAGAACACTGGGCTCCAGCTGTGCTGAGTTAGGACCTGTGCCTGCTCATAACCAAGTCTGGGTAGCACTTGAGCATCTCCTTAATAGCCCCCCTCAAGCAATCCTATTTATTTTAGCTAAACCACTGCATTGCTAGCTCTTTGCTTTCTTTCCAAGTGTTGTTGATTAACATGAGATGTCAATAAGAGTTTTCTCTGCAGGAGTTTTTTCCCTGCCAGTTGCTTCCCCTGTTTCAATTCGGTTTGGCTGTTTGCCATCTACAAAACTGTTAGGCATAATAGGAGTACAAAAATAACAGTTTGCCTTTATACAGATTGCCTGTCACTTGCAAAAGGTACTGCAGAAAAGTTTACCAGTGCTCAGTATGAGATCAAGAAATTAGAAATATATGTGAGAGTGAGGAGGGAAAGGAAAAAAAAAAAGGCAGATTAACGCATTTATAATGTTTAGTTGAACATGGCTGGCAAATCTTCACTGCTTACTGAAGACACTGTGCTGAAACAAAAGGATATTTGGGGACCAAAAGCACAGAAAATGGACACAAGAGCTTCCTGCACTGTACTAAGAGATGTGCTTCCAACCTGGAAAGTATAAGGGATGCCTTCAAAGGATAAGTGAAGGCATCGTTCTCTGCAGTGTTTCAGGCTTTTGATCTTTTCAGAATACCTGATGTTATTAATTACAATGACAGATTAATTTTTGTGGTAATTATTCACTAAGAACTGGAACAACGCAGGCGATTAATTTTCTCTGAGCCATCTAATGGCCTCTAGGTGTCAAGAACTGTTTGTCGCTGCTGAAATGGGCTGGTTTGGGATCTGGAAGTGAAAGGCTCTGCAAAACCATTCCTGATCATGAGTCACTTCGGTCTTCTGGCACTCATGCTTTGTGCTGTAGCCCTACACATGACTTTGAGGTGGTCATGAACCGACGCTTCATGTTCTGACTGCCTCCAGGCTTGGGAGTTTGAAAGAGTGCTTGAAGGCTTGCCTCCATCTCCAGTAGTGACCCCGGTAAGTGGCACCTGTCCAGAGGTTTACTTTGGTCCTCTAGGGTTGTTTCACAGGACAGAGAGAGTCTGCAATTTCTGTTGACATTTTGAGTGTTAGGGAACTAAACCCAAAACTTCATGGAATTACCCGTGGCCTTTTTCTTCCTGTTTGTTCATCCACCCTCTTTTGTACCATTCTGTCTTAGCACGACTGTGTACAAAGCCTGGTGGCTTCAGTTGCTTTGAGAAGCTTTACAGAAAGTTATTTTGCATGCACATTTATTCCATCTGGACCTTTTACAAGGCCCAGCAAAATGACCGATGATGTTGCAGCTCCACGGGCAGCCCCAGTGTGGCCGGGGTGCTTCAGTGTGGAACCTATGGCTAAGCCCTGTCCCGCTCCCCGTGCAACCAGGCATTGCTAGCAAGGCACGGTCATTCTGCGGACAGAAAAAACTTCTGCCAGCAAGCCATATTACCTACAGATTAACTAACCCACATGCACACTGCCCACAGCTCTCTCAGTACCTTCTGGCAGTCGTGCCTAAAAAATGGCAAATCAGGAACACAGTATATGTGCTCAGGTTTCACCAGATGGCACTATAGCATGTACATACCTGAAGGCACAGACACAATTAAAATCCCATGTAAAGAATTATGCTGCAGATCTAAGACGGCACTTTCTAGCACGTCTCTTAAATCCAAGCTCTCCTATTTGCCCTATTGTTCCTTAATATTTTCTCTTCCTCTTCGTGTCAGATTTAGAAAGAAAAGCAGTACTTCTGCAGTGCCAAATATGACTTGACTTTCAGTTGTACCTCAGAGTCCCCTACCAACAACAACGAAAGATATTCTGTGTTCTTTTTACTACTGCTGAATTTTGTACAGACCAGGCAGTGAAACTGTGTCAGGATTTCAGGAAACTGAAGCAGCAGAAAGACTATTTGGTCTTGGAAAGATGAACTCCACACACTTTCAGATTCCCACGTTGCATGCATGTTGAGAGAGGAAGAGCCTTCAAAAGTGTTGCTTTTGGGTTTTGGCAGACTGACAAGAATGTCTCCGTAAGAAACTTTAAGGCACGACATGGTTTTAAAGAAGGGCAACTGCTTACGACTGCTGCGTGTATTACAGTAATACTTAGATGTCCCAGTCAAAACTAAGGTCTCATTATGCTTGGCAGTGCATCGACATAAACAAAAATAGAGCATCTGACTTCAAGAGATTATAATCTAAAATGACTAATAACACATGACAGGCAGATTGCAGACTTTTATACTGAAAAAAAGTCTGAGGGAGGAAGGTTTCATCCAGAAAAGGCTCATTACTTCCCTTCTGCTAGTTTTGCTTCAGTGATTTTTTTTTTTTCCCCTGCTTTCATTTGACAATTTTGATACATTTACTCAGTTAGTAAACTGGTAGTCAATTGGTAAATTTGCAACAGTGTTTCAGAGTTGTTTAGGGGGCAGAGCACTTGTGTATGGAGAAACAATGTCTGTATGAAATTATTTTTAGGTGAATTCTTACATCCTAGCAAATAAAAATAAAGAGAAAGAGCTAAAAACAGAAAATTGAACATAATCTCTTTGACCCGGTCGTGGCCACCAGGTTACAGCTCCAGATGGAGTTTCACTGACCACCACATAAATGTAACCAGACTTAAACCTAATGGCAAAAATGTACAAGCAGACTGTTGAATGGACAATTGTCTGTCTGAGCGTTATGCATCCTTTCTTGACTCAGCATCTAGGTCCCTATACTCTCCTCCTCCTAAGTCTTCTCCAATACACACCCCTGCTATCACCAAAATGCTTCAGTAAAGGAATTGCCTGGCCTCTGCAGTGACAGCCAGAAGATGGGTTCTGCATTGCTGGTTAGGTAAGGGCAGGACAATGGTCCCTCATGACCAACAGTAGTGCTCATACAATTTGCAGAATTCACTACAAACCAAATAGCCTTACTATTTCAGTTTTCTTTTCAGATTAGCTTCAGGGCGATTAAGTGAAAAGGCATAATTTTGTTCTTCTCCCCTTCTCCTAAATCAGACCCTCTGAATAATACTGAGCCAGCACAGAGAATAATCCTATACAACTGGGTACAGGTCAAGCCTAATGGGCTTACCAGATGCTGGAGGGAGGTCTGAAGTGCTGCTGTTTGTCCCTGAAGTGCTTCTGTTTGTCCCTGAAGTGCTTCTGTTTGTCCCTGAAGTGCTTCTGTTTGTGTTCTGGTACTTCATGTTGGTACTATCTGAAGATGCATCTTCCATACTATGATCACTTGCTAGTGTGCTCTGACCAGCAGAGAGGAAATTCAGGCCACAGGTGCACTGTGCATAGGATCCAGTTTCTGGGGAGGTGGAGGCACTGTCAGCTGCAGCACAACAGGGTTTGCTCCACTTTCTGGGAGACTCCCTGTACGAAATGCCACACCTCACACAGATCTTCTCTGAGTCACAGTTTGTTGCAAAATGATCTGTGCCTTTGTTGTCTGTTTCTTTCAGGCAACTGTGGGCATGTTGGCAAGATTTCTGAAGAAGTTTGTCCGTGGCAGTGTGTGCCCCATCTGTGTTGGAGGAAGGGTGAAAGCCTTGAGAGACTGTTATGTCCTCTGTGCTCCCAATCCCTGAAAAGTACTGATTTAAGCTGTCGTTCTCCCCTGCCTCCATCGGTTCCGAAAATGATGACACCGTTTTACTGGCAGTCCGACTCAGCAAAGATAAATAATCAGCGGTATTGAGATCCTTATCCGTGTATTCATCTTCCGTGGGAACTGGTGGGAAATGGTCATCATCAGTCTCATTTACCACAGAAAACTCTTGGAGGTTCCCTCCCGCCTGGCATGGTGCTATGCTGGGGCTCCCGTTCCTGCAAGGAGCGTGACCACTGGTGCAGCATGAGTTCCCAGGGGCAGGAGAGCTGGTGGGGCCCAGGAGACACATGCCTTCAGAGGCCTGGGGGACGGCAGCATTCGTGATGTTCTCGGTAACAAATGCATCTCTGTGGGGCTCCTGAAAGAAATTAAAAATAAAAACTTGATTAAGAAATAGATCAGAAGAAGATTATTTGCTAGACAAAGAAGGAACAAGCAGATCCCTGTTCTTCCTTGGTGCGGAGCTGCTGAGGTTGAGCAGCACCGCTATATTTGAGTCTTGAAGTATAATTCTGTTCTGCTGTGAAACTGTGACTGATCATGCTGTGCTCAGCGGGTGTTCAGAGAAAAAATCTGGTGGCCTGGGGGGCAATAACGTTTAATTTTGGGAGATGACTATTCCTAGGTCTTAAGAAGGCCCTTAAGAGTTAATAAATCTAAAAGAGTCGCTAGATTCTGCTGTTCCTTATGGACCATCAGTAAGACCTACCTAACTGCTTAGAAGGGTTTGGAAACCCCCTATGTGTCTGAAAGGCTGTTGATCTGTGAAGGCCTTACTGGGAGCAGAACCTTTATTATCAGTAATGATCGGAAAAAGAAACTGGGTTGATTCAGAGGGCCCAAGAAAAGCTAGAAAAAAAAGAAGTCACATGGGCAAGGTTGCTTTAACCTGGAAAATGTTAGGACAACAAATGCTAAGGCCCACAACATCATGTTGCCAGTACTTGTCAAAGTAAAGCTGTATTTTTGGTTGCAGCTCCAAAAAAAGGGTTGGGAAATAATTCAAGGGTTTCCTTCACTTCATGCAACTTGTGCTGTAAAGACAGGTATTTGGGAACTGATACCTTTCATTTCTAGCATCTGTTCAGATCTTCCAGGATAGAAGAGAGAGTGTAAATGCTGCCAGCCCCTAATTGCTGTTGATTCACTCCTCTGTCCCGGAGGATCTGAGCATCTGCCAGTGCAGGAAGTTGCATTAACACTTGTGAGACAAAAGAGGAACTGCCTACTCAAAAAGGTGTGTTTGTTTGGTATGGGGTTTTTTTTGTAGCAATGGAATTTGAGTCTTTCAACAGCTAAGCTAGGCAGAGCTCCTAGACGGGGTGGTGGGGGAAGCGTGCACCTGGGACACCTCAGTCCACGGCCGTGGTGTGAAGCAGGCAGTGCACATGAACTTGAACCTGTGCCTCCATCTGAGTGTTTCAAGTGTGGGATCTGGTGTTCTTCCAGAGCAAACCCTCTTGTAAAGTCTTACTTTTATCACATCCAAATGGACAAGAAGGATTTCTGTGAGCACTAGAATTAAGGTGTCTCTCAGCCAGTTTCTTTAGCTGATGGCTCTGTGCTTAATGCTTTGCATGTCTGGCTTTCTTGGCGTTACCCCAAATCCAGATTTGTCCTGTGTGAGCACTCTGGTATGTAAAAAGGTGCAAACTCAACTGAAGCTTTTCCTGCTCTTCGGATTGAGAAAAGCTTTCTCCCAGGCAGAGTCTCAGGTGTTCAGCAAGCAGTGGGCTCACGTTTAACTTTCTCCTCATAAATATTTAATCATCACAGAGACTTTTACCACTGTTAAAACTGGCTGAAACCACAGAGCAGGTTCAGAAGCTATTTGAGAACGGTGATTTCATACGCCTCACATTTACAGAAAACCAGACTGAAAAAGCCAAAGCTGCGAGCATTTTTTGAGGAAATCAAAACTTGTTTTCTAGCCAAACATTAATGTGGAGTCTGCTTCAGGAGGGTTGTCAGGAATGCCATGCGGAAAACATAAAACAAAGAGAAAATGCTAGCGTCTTTGACTTTACCTTTGATCCTTTTATTTGGCTGCACACTTCGTTAGCCCAATTCTGTAGATCTGCTGTAGGGAAAAAAAAAAGAGTAGCTGTAACATATAGCAGCCACTGAAGTTAGCCACAGACCTAAACACCCACAGTCATTCACAATCCGCAATATCATATTAAATAAAAACCAGCGAGACTGTTTTTACTGACTGTTCAAATGTCCCAGCGTCGGTCTAGCTGAGGATTCATTGTAACTGGAACAGGGATATATTTCTGTGGAACAAATGTTTCCAGGCTCCTAAAATAGACCACGGTTAAACTGTGTTCCACTTCAAATGGGGTTTCTTTCCTGGTCATATGTCACACCAAGCTATGACTGGCCCAATACCGACCCGCTTGCAGCCGTACGGTCTATTTCAAGAGAAGTCACATGGATGGCCCAAGGGCCATTATCAGACAGGAGTAAGGAGCCTGGAGAGAAGAGGTAAGCCACTGAGACCACAGGACAGCGGGCTCAAATACAGCATATTCCACTTAATCAGGGCGTACTTAATGGGGAAATTCACTTAATTGGAGTATCTCCCAAGGAAAAGCTTTAAGTCCAACAATGCTTTATGGTAAAGACTGCCACTTAATAGAGTTAGCAATTCTTGTTTTCTGTTTACACTTTCAGGAGATTTTGTAGGGCTCAGGTCTCACATCCATTTGAAGCTTATGCTGGTTTTGTATGTCTGAAGATAGATCAGCTGCATAGCCACTGCCAGTTCCCAGCAATGACTCTGTTCCTCTGATGTTGAGTCTGCACATTTACCATCAAGACCCCCCCCACCCCAAGCAGGCAGAGCTTCTTCCTGATCCTACAAGTCTCTGGGGCTCCGATTAGCAGGATTTACCATGCAAAGGCAATGAAGGACTATCACCGCAGAGCAGCAGGGCAACAGAAATGTCAGATAAAGAGCATTCCCCCCTAACCTGCTTTGCATCGTATTTGGTTTGCAAGGAGAGTCACCATTTCCTCCAGCCCATCCCAGGAATTCCAGATTTAGCACAACCCATGTTTAGTGTGGCAGAGGCAGACTATTTCTAAAACACAGGCTGAAATATACTTTACAACAGAGGGTTGCTGTCTTCCCTTCCACTGCTCCCAAAACATTTAAAAAATTGCTAGGGCTTGGGAAAGGAGATGATGGAAAAACTACACTAGGAAAACCTTTCCACGTTTAGTGGGAGAAAATAAAAAGTGAACAGAACAATATGGGTATGTCCTTAACGAAGGAGATCCAGGGCTTAACACAGACTTGAGTAACTTTTGAATGTATTTCTGTTGTATTAACAATATATTCAGTACCCCACTGTTATCCAGTATGCTTTTGCCAGAATTTTTCTATTTTTCTACTGATTATCCTATTTCCTCCTAGTATTTCTTCCATACCTCATCAGAACTTTAGCCTTCAGCTAAAAACATTGCCTTCATGTTTTCAAATACACATCAAGCCTTTGTCTTGAAATCCATATTTTAACCTGTCCAGATGTAGGTTTCAGGGGAGGAGGGAAAGTGGGAAGGAGGAGACAGGAGGTGGTGAAAGCCCCCTGCTTCCCTTCGGCCAAGGGGTCTGCTGTGCCGCATGGTGCAGAGCAGCCATGCTGCTGTAAAAGCCCCCAGCACCAGCCCTCCATCATCCACACAGCGGTTGCGTCCGCCCCGAGGGCAGTCACCCCGTGGTCAGGGCTGCAGAAGGCTGCCAAGCAATATGCGTTATGCATTAAGTGTAATATGCTGCCTGCCTAGAGGAAAGTTGTTTGAAGCCTGGCTTTGCACTAGTTAAAGCGTACCCATATGGAGAGGTATAGGGATAGTACAGAACTTGCAGAATAACTCCCCAGTTTCTTAACCTGGTGGTTACCCATGAAATCAGAGAGTACAGAGAGCCATGCAGCTGTCACATTCATGGATATCATTAGCTATCACGTACCTGTCAGCTTTTTTCCCTTATTCTTGTAGTATACAATGAAGATGACAATGCCAATTAGTGCCACAAAAAACAAGACGACAATCAACACGTATAAGATCCTGTTTGTTCCTGCAGAATGTAAAGAAGATAGTGCCATCAACATGCAGCTTGTACTCAGCAGTATGACAATCCTTGCTTATTTTACCTGCTTTTCCACAGGAGAGAGGTTTTTTTTCTTGCTTCCTATTTGATTTTTCAGTTTCTATAATAAGGACAACAGCTCTAGCACTCACGCAATTTTGTGACAAGCAGCCTTACTGAAGGTACATGGTACCAAGCCATCTCCACAAAAAACAGAGTCTTGGTGTCTCAGAGAGGTGTGATCCAGTCATGCTCCTCTGAAAGACCCCTTGCAAGCTGCCAGTGTCCATGGGCTGTGCTTGCTCTCCCTCAGGGGATGGAGGACATACATTTCATGGAGACTATAGAATTCAGCTGGCAAAATTTGTCCTTTATCTCAGGCTATTAAGGATCATTGTGTGCCAGGCAAGAAGCATCCCTGGTACCATACCCACACTGGAGAAGGAAATGGGCAGTGGGCAAGAAGGGAGAGATACATTCACCTGAGACTGTATCCATTGCTATAAAATAAGCATGAAGAGAAGCTGCTAGCCTTTATATGGATAACGTGTGTATTGAAATCAGCAGGCTGAAAAACTGAAAGAGCCGTAACTGTGATGGAGATCATGGGTATAACAGCAATGCTGCTTGCCAGGCACCTCGGTGGGAGGTGTAAAGGTCTGCGTAGTAGTGGACTTGGGCCCTAGAGCCGCCAGGCTTAAAGTAGTCTTTAAAGGTGGGATTTTCCAAAAGCACTGTCCTGGTCTACAGCTGCTCTCCCTAGAGTCACCCACAATGGGAATGGAGTTAAGCCAGCCAAAGTCCCTAGCAAACACCTCCCTCCTCCCTCCTGCTACTTTCTAACAGATAATCTGTATGAGGACACGTGCCGTCTTCCGATGGCTCAGGCATCTTCCGTTCTGTGCAAACTGCATCTGACTTATCGGTCCCAGGCACGATTTCTGCCATTCCTAGAGCTGTACAGCTAAAAAAGAAAGACAAAGAGGCTAAGTTCTCAAAGAGAAAGCTTGTTGTGGCTCCTACACTTATGCAGAGCACTACTTTCTGTTGTAACATGCAACATTTCTGCTGCATTTCCCCACCCTTAAGAACATCAGACACCTTCTTTATTTTCAGCTGTGTCACCTCAGCAATTCTGTTGTTACTGCTTTCTCTTGCTCCCCGCAAGGAGAATTCAAGCTTCAGTGTGAGAATGCCTTTATTGCTGCACAGCCGACAGAGATGCTCTGTGTGCTCTGCAGACAGCCTGAAACATCCCACTGTAAAATGCTTTTGCCCGAGTTTCTCCCTGCCTTCTAGCTGTTGTGGGCCTTTTACAAGATACAGGGACTTACTTGGTCCAGGATTTACACTCGTCAGTAGATGAAGCGACGTTTGAGAAGTAGCCTCTGGGACATGGTATACACATTGTGTCCTTATCTTGTTGCACTGTGTGTAGTAAAGGAAGAAAAACTTCATAGCTGAGTTTCCGTGGGTTCCTTTCAGGTGAGGGGAAGGTGACTAGGCTCCCCATCCTCCTGCTCCACACACCCCCCTGCCAACCCCCCCGAAAGCTTCCCTGAAGAGAGAAGGATCTTAGATTACATTACAGCAGCAATAACAGTCACATGTAAGCAGAAAAAAGTATGCTAGTCTCACCTGAGCACTTCTCTACATCATCAAAATGAGAAACAACCAGGAGCAATTTGCAGTTATTGTAAAATAACACATATCTATTATATCCTTCCCCTTCCACTAGCTTCCTTGTGTCGATGCTATGCCACAGACAGCGACGCTAACTGGTATTGTCACTTCTATGAAGCCACAGTAAACAAAATGTTGTATCAGGATTTGCTAGGCTGGAGAAAAACCAGCACCACTGTGCTCCAGGCCCATGCAGCATTTCGTCTTCCATTACTCTATTATGTGCTGCTTTTTGGGGGTTCCTCATGCTTGGCACAGCTGTTCCCAGTGTTCATTACAACTCTGAACTTGACTGTCTCTATTTTCCACATCTGTAATAAATCTTTGCATTACAAGTCATCTAAAACAGAATACCTGTGCTACCTGAAAGGTATTAATTGCTTTTAACTTGCTTATAACATTATAAAATGGCAAAGCAAAGTCGTTGGACAAAAACTGATTTCAAATCCACCCTAAGAACAATCCCCAATGGACTGCTGCTCTGCATATTAGAGCAATGCATGACCTAGTGACTCACAGTCAGACACCTCAGCAAACATTAGAAATGCAGCGAACACATTGCAACCACTGCCATGTCCACGTGATAGCTTGCAAAAGTCACTTGATCCAAGAAACTGTTTAAACTACAGAGGTAGAAGCCTTCAAAATGCAAATAGTCCACGAGGTTTACATGCAGTTGTAATGATAACTCAGATATGCATCTTCTGTTGATAGCCATCTGAGACTCTAAAGTATCCTCTCTACCATCACCAACCCACAAGATGCTGGCCTCATCCCGTAGGCCTGAGCTGGACATTTCACTGCATACGTCCCCCTTCTGTATCTTACCAGGACGCTCAACTCCGAATCCTGGAGCACATATGGTATTTCGCTGACAGCAGTCGCAGTCTTCATTCCAGTGGTAGCCCATCGTACAAGCACACTGCCGCTGGAACGTGCTGTTCCCTGGGTTCACTTCTCTCAAAGCTTTCCCTAAAAGAGAAAGCAGATGGGAGTAAAAATCTCTCTGATAATAAGCCTCAAGTTTATGAATCTACTGTTCTACCTATTTGCTTTGCTTGAATGACAGATGCAAACCCATTCACGTTAGAGGAAATGTTATCCTTCAAGAAGCATGGGACACCCTTGATCAGCACGGGGCTCCTCACTGATTGCACTCCTGAGCAATACTTTTCCTTGTAGCTGCTGTAGAAAATAAGCAGAGCTTTTGCAAGGGTGAGACAAACGTGTTAGGGGAAGTGAATGCGCAATATACTGGGCAAAAAGACAACCTTTAAGATCCAACTCACAGGAGTGAATGGCCCCAGTGGAGATAATCATTATCAGCAGCATGGAGACCATGGTCGCGGTGCTCAGCACAGCACAGAATCTCTGCTGTCTGGGGACCTCCCTCTCCGCCAGGCTCTTCTGCAAGCCCAGCCTCCAGTGTTGGGTACCTGAACAAAGCAACTTCCCTGGATCCACTTTCCCACCTTCGTGCTTCACTAATTTGGATTAAAAAGTTCTTCGGTATGAACAGCTCACCTTGATCGCATATTTTATGTAGTAAGCATTTATCTTCTTCATTCCAGACATCCATATACTCGTTTGGGCCACACGGCTGGCACACGCTGTCAGAAGTACCAGTGCATCTAGCAGACATATACTTTCCTGTGAATGAGAGAAGGACAAGTAGGTCATTTGCAAGTTGCATGCCAGCTGTCTAAGGAGCTTAGGGAAAATAACAGGTTGGGCTAACATTGCTGTACACAAATCATTTCTTCTTGCCACCTTTTCATTTCCTCAGCCTGGCTCCCGTTTAGTGTGGCACTGACACATCTGCGAAGCTTACAGCCTGGGAGCAGTCCTATCTACATGCACGAGAATCAAGCTGTTCTGTCTCCCGTAGTGGTTAAGTGCTATCCCAACAAAATAGCTGCTATGGCTTTTGCTGAGGTCAGCAGGACCACTCCTGCACTAGAAGGCACTCATAAGCCTGAAATCATGCATCTACAAGGGCATGTGCCAATAGATTAGCAGAGTCACAAGAGCAAACTGCCTTACTGACCCACGGAGCTGTTTCTAACGAGCTTTTCAGTTATGAAGCCGGTACAGCCCAGTGCTCACGTACCTGGCTCACACTTTGTGCAGCACCGTCCAGAGTATTCATAGTGTTGTTCGTTCTCACATGGCGGAGTGATTTGTAGTGACAACTGGAGCAGAGAAGGAGAGAGAGGACATGAGAACCAATATACCTGGAGAGCTTCAGACCTATCTAGTCACAGTGCTGGCAGAGAGGAGGAAACCCTTTCTTCTCTATAGCATTTTGGATAGCTAAGCAATAAAAATTGCCCAACATTTATGACTTCAAAGCTGCTTTGTAGACACGCTAAGAATATGTACTTGGTGCTGTACACACAGGGACTTGTAATACAGCCAGGTGATAAATAACCCAATCTTGCAATTTGTCATGAACTTTTGGCCTGCTATATAACCTTTTCTTACAGTACTCTATTATTTGAAACCTGACTTCAAAACAATTGTAAAGAAAAAAACCTGGCATACAGATACTTCTGTAGTCTCTTCCACAGATATGACCTCAGACCAAGACCCAGGCAACTGACAGTTTTAATGTATAGCATTAAGCAAACAAGTAAGGTGAACGATTTATACGCCTGAAAAAGAAGAAGTTCCCAGCTTCCCGCTGGGATACACAATACTCCTGGCTAGCCCCAGAAAATATCGGACTTCAATTTTGCAGCTTTTTGTGGGTCCCGCTGTGTCCTGCAGAGATGGTCTCATGGAACTGAGGCAGCCATCCAGAGAGGTGACACCATTAAGCCAACAGCTTTTTTGTTCTCAAAAACCAAAACAAAACCAATGCAAACCACCACCCCCAAACCACCTGAACCCGTTAAATGAGAGGGCATCTGCAAAGCAGATCAAAGCAGGTAGCAGCGCTGCCTCTAGCTCTTACAGGCCGTCACACCCCCTCCCTGCCCTCGGCTGCCTGTACGCACGGTGGTCCTACGCACAGCCCCACATCCACGGTTCGCTTGGCCAGGCTTCGGGGCAAGGCTCATGCTGGGGACCCTGGCCAGCCAAGCACCGTGCCCAGCCCCTCGCTTAACCTGCTTTGGCTGCCTGGGAGTCTCCCGGCAGAAGTCCTCCAGGCAAACTCAACACCTTACAGCCAGTTATTGATCTTGTAATATAGATAAGATGAGTCAAAATCTGGCCTGTAGCAAGGAATCCTTCTTTACTGGAGAGAGTACTTAAAATCTCATTTACTTTGAGAAAGCTGCAATAAAGCTGCTGCTGCTGGTTAAAGGGAACTTTTGCTATCTAATACCATATGACAGCCCTGTGCCTACTGATACTGGTTTCCATTCCTCTGCCTAGCATTCTCCCCTTGTTTCCTCCAAGTCTTTACTTCTCCTCTTTCCTCCTTTTCTAGTTTCAGCAATAGCAACATCTCTAACAGAGAATATTTTTCCCTAAGCACCTTGTCCTCTTCTAATGCTGGGAAGGGTCTTGTAACTTAAAGATGACCCAAAAGGTTGAAATTTTTCTTTAAAACACAACCTTTTGGCCTGGAGTTTGAGCCATGGGTTGGTGCATGACTTGTGTTTATCAAAACTGCGCTAGCTGTGTCAGGAACAGAATAAGTACATCGGGTCAGAGGTCTTGAGTTTCTATATTTTTGCAGGTTATAAACAACTTATAGCCATTTTCTTACCATTACAACAACCCCAGGTCCAATTAACAGTCTAGTCTTGCAAGAAATCTTCTGTTGTCTTATTTTTCCTTGTCTCTTTCTTTGCATTCATTAGCAGTACCATTCTCGTGATTAGATTATACGTTTTTTTGGAACAAACATTGCATTTCATGTTTGTGCAGCACCTCCCAGGAGGGGTGCAAGATAACGATCAGTGCTGGCGAGGCAAGAGGCAATCTAGGAAATGGAAAGCTGGGCCAGCCTGGCAGCTGAACAGTGACACTGCTCCATGTCCCAGGGGAAACACTGAAAATACTCCTGTAATCGAAGGAGCTCGTTTTCTGCAAGGCACTTCAGGTGGCATCTGCTAAAACACTAAACTGGCCAGCACAGGGTTGAGGCAACATTGCGGGACTGAGCAGCAGAGACAAGGTCTTGAGTGACTGCTTTTCTATTCCCGGGCATCTGAAAAGGCAACAAAAGTGATGAGACCAACAATAGGTCCAGCCACTCATTTTTGGCACAGAATATCCTCTTCTTCCTTGTTTGCCCCAGTTTGATAGTTCCTCTTTAGCAGAAAAGACTAAAAAATTACTGAAGTGTCAAACAAGGGCAAAGTCATCCTTTTTAAGGAAGGATATGCAAATCTGCTAAAGAGCATTCAGCTAAAGGGTCTGGAATAATTTCCGAGAATCACAACTCAGCCTGAGGAGCAGCAGCAATCCCCTGGCACCGATGCTAGGGAGCAGGCTAATTGCTCAGCCACCTTTTGGAAATCGTTTCATACCTCCATGCTTTACCATATAAAGAGGGCTATTGTTAGGTTATAACTCACAGCTGCAGCTGCATAAATCTACGCTCTTTATCAATAAGTAGTCTCTTCTGCGACCGTGTCCTTCCCTTTTTCACACAAGCCAATGCATTCACAGAGCTGCAATACTCCCTCCTTTGATTTATGCTCAATAGCGTAAAGACGAGGCTCTTGGCATCCATGTATTAACCTCCATGTGAGCCCAGCCTCCTTCAGAAGGCAAGGGATTTTTGGGCTGGTATGGACTGGCTGGAGCCGCCGAGCATGAAAACTGGGGGCAGAGAGGACAGGAAGGGAAACAAAAGCAACCCGGGGTTTTCTTAGGGTGGGAGCTGAACTTGGGCCCTTTTGCTAACACAGCCCCATTGAAGTCAGGTTAGCCCCCGTTTAACCCTCTGCCAGGGGATTGTGTGTGTCTCATCGTCGAACTGTACGTCAGCTTCCCTCAGGGGCTGAGAAGTACTCGTGCTGCTGGCAGCACGATGACCTTCGCCATCACCAGCGCATTCCCGCCACAGAGTCCTTCCGAGACGGGGAAGTGCAATTCAGTTCGCAGATGAGGAACTCGCACCCGGAGGCTGGCTGGCTTTACAGAGGTGACAGGAAACCAAATCAAGTCTCCCAAGTCTCAAGTTTGCCCTGTAACCCCTGGAACATCCTTCCTCTCATCGGGTCCTGGCTCGTGGGTCAGAGGGATTTGGACATCACCAAGCTCTTATCTAGAGACAGAAGGGGCCTTGATGAATAAGAAGGTGTCAACCACCTCTGAAGTGATTAAGTAAGACAAAACCCAGCCTGGTCATTCCTTTAATGGTCTTGCTATTGATGAAGTTGCCCATTAAATACCACCACCACATGCAAATGAGTGCTTCAAAGTGCTCTAAGTATCCTGTGTAAATGTAATTTGTCACTTAAAAAGTGTGGAAAGCACACAGATTTGCACCATTTCCTAAAAAAAGTCGGCTTTCCTGCTTGATTAACATTACCTCAGAACAAGTATATCTGACAGGGGAAGAGTCCAGGGGGAGAAAAAAGACAAACCCTCCTCCAGGCTTGGTGGATCCAGTTCGGTAAAGCACGCCAACACCTGCTTACCTTTAAGCACATGAGTAGCACCATTGACTTCTTTGGAAAAACAGGCATGATCATGTCAAGGTTTGCAGGAGGACTGTGTTTTGGTCTTGAGCTGCAGATAGCCTTTTCAGCTTCTTTTGTTTTTGCCTATTCGTTGAAAAGGACGCGAAGCAAGAGTGTGCTTGTAGGGTCGGAGAGCTTCGATGACTCAGAGCTACAAAGCACCACTGTGTTACTCAGACCTTGAAAAAACACACACACACAGGTGCTTCTGAAGGGGGAACCAGCAGCATTCAGATTCCTGTCCTCAGGCTTAAGGAAATATTTATTCTTGGTGCCGTTGAGCAATCAGATGGCAGCAGAAGCTGTGTGTCATGGATGCTAAAATTACTTTCTCGCTCAGATGAATATCCAGACAGACGTTTCAGAGAAGATAGAGTTGCATGGGCCCCTTCCCTTTGAAAGAAAAAAATCTGGAAGAACAAGCTCGGGGGTTTCCACAGCCTTTTTCCCATGCCACTTCTGAACAAGAACCTGAGGCCTCAATGAGGATGGCTCATTAGCAATAATCGTAGTTTTGCAAAAATTGAGATGTAAAGGGACATGTCAAGGGGTAACTATCTTAAGATGACACCTTCTTGCTGAGTGTAGTTGTTTCTGGAGAGTATTCAAGTCATCTGTCATCATTTTACTGAGCAAAGCACATTTTTTTCTCCACTTAATATTACAGAACCAAAGTACCTATAGGAGAGGCAACTGTGGTCTGTCCTGCATTGCACACCACTTGTTCTTTACACTCTGGAGACTGAGTTTATTCAAACCACTTGCTTTTGAGGTCCTTAGACTGGCCTGCTGGAGAACTGTAATATTTCTGTGGATTTGGGGCTTTATTTGTCTTCATCATGGGGACTGAGCTTTGACCAACATTTCCAGATCTGAAGCAGCCCTTGCAAGTGCAGCACCCTGGTATCCAGCTAGGATGGCCTCTGCAGTCATCTGCTGCTTTTTCTCCTTCAAATATGAGCCACTCCCTCTCCTCTTACAGGTACCAATTGTGTGCCCACAGCCTTCCAGCTTCCTACCTGATTTGGGTCAGCAGTATCGCTAAGCAAAACCCAGATTTCTTCAGCTCATTGCCAGTTTCAGAGGCTTGCCTAAAAAAATTATTTAAGAATAAAAATAGAATCAGGCTCTTGATGGGTGCTGCTCCGTGGCTGGTGCTCCCAGGCACTCTATGGAGGCGCTTAATAGTAATGCGCACAATGAACGACTCTGGAAATTTTTACAATTGTGAGTTTATAAAGGGAAAGAAGAGTCTTATGTTAAAAACTTAATCACAATCACATGGATGCTGAATGCAACAGTTCCTTCACAGGCAGTCTTCACCGTTGATAAAAATTCAATCAAAGCAGCACACAAGGCACAGCTTTGCAATTCCAGTTATTGGCTCACAGGTCTGTAATTCTTCACGAAAATCTTAGATTGTGAATGAAATGCTTTTGGTGATGTCAACTTTCCAGTGACCAGTAAACCACATCACAGAACTACCACCACGTGGTAACATATAGCCGGGAAATGGCAACAGCTAAAAACTAAATATTATTTCACTC